CTGCCGAAAGACCGCATGGACACAAAGGAAAAGATTACCTAGAGGTTATGAAGTTTGCCGTTGATGCTCTTAAAAACTACGAGGGCAGGAACATGGAAATCACGGCGAGAGATCTTGTGGATGGAGTAATGCGCGTCGATCGGATCATTGGTTCACAGTACGATTTTTATTTCAGATCAACAAACAACAAAGTTTTTCACCGAGTCAAAATTGAACGCCCATTTGGTCCTCTGAACCTCGCAGGTAGCATTGAGACAGTCGACACAAACAACGAGCTTATAAACTTGATTCTGCCGCTATCGGGTAGGCTGGATAAATTTAAAGCCTTCCTGGACAATTTTGTCGACGTTTGTGTGAGATGGGACAGATCGGTTTTTCTCACTGTTGTTTTCTTTGGCCAGGCCGGTAAGGAAGAATTGGAAACCATGATGGCAAACGTCTCCAAGGCAGAGAATTTCACAGACTATAAACTCATATTTTCGAATGAGACATTTTCCAGAGGCTATGGTCTCCAACAGGGTGCTACTTCCTGGGAGAAGGGCAATGTCCTAATGTTCTTTTGTGATGTCGATGTGTTATTTACATCTCAATTTTTAGATCGCTGTAGATTTTACTCTACCCCTGGGGTGAAACTCTACTACCCAGTTGTATTTAGTCTCTACAACCCCACCATAGTATATGGAGGATCACCGCCTCCAAACCAGAACCAATTTCGCATAAATCGTGACACTGGTTACTGGAGAGATTTTGGTTATGGAATGACTTGCCAGTACAGAAATGACTTCATAAAAATTGGTGGTTTTGATCTTTCAATCAAAGGATGGGGAATGGAAGATGTGAAGTTATATCGAAGCTACCTTGCCAGTGACTTGGTTGTTATTCGGGCCGCAGACAGAGGAATCTTTCATACATGGCATCCAAAGTACTGCAGTCGAAATCTAACTCAGTCACAGTTTTTATCCTGTATTAAGAGCAAAGTGAAGTCAGAAGCTTCTCACTCACAACTTGGTCTTCTAGCTTTTGGTGGGAAAATTTTTGATGAAAAAGAAACTAACTGGATTGGACAGCTTAAGGCTTCAAAGAAAAATAAAATTACTGAGGGAAAAAAGTCAGCAACCACCTCTCAATGAGAACCTTTATCTAAAAACTAAACAATGTGTAAATGCACCAATGAAATCAAAGAAATGATGGGAAATCCTTGCAATTGTTGATGTACAGGTAAATAATGCAAACACATGCTGTATTTAAAAGTCTCCCTGCACAAAGATGTGTACAGATAACAGTGGTGTAAATAAAGTGAATTTTTCCAGGTCTTAGTTCACAAAAATGATACTTTTATTTAACATATCATCAGAGTTTTGTACTGCTTAAAATCTGAGTAATATTGAAGTGAAACATAACCAAACAATATACCTAGTGTGGTTGGAGAAGGAAAGTCAGAGGAAATAGAGAAAACTCTTAAAGCCCTGAAATTCACAGCAAAAATTAGCAATTCTGAGTCTCCACATTTGAAATTATTTTATGGATAATGCACTCCAAGCTACATGATCTTTAAGGTAATTTCCACCTTTGAGGCTTGTGTTTTAGCCTATGTGATGTCACTCTTTTTTTTTTTTTTTGCCCTGAGGTAGGAATTCTGGAGCAAGTCCAGTTTAGTCTAGAGGTGCACAGGCGGATTGATCTTTTTATTGAGAATTGTTTCAGGAAGTGATTATCACAAGAGGATTTTGAGGATAATAATCCTGTGTTCATTTAGGAGCTAAGATTTTGTCATGAACAGTTATGAGATCTTTCTCTGATGATGACTTCAATAAGTAACAAACCGGTTTGTGGTTTAAGGTATTTAATATGAATGAAAGGGTCTTGAGTAAACTTTGTACTAGAATAGAGTTGTACAATTATTTATTGCTGTTGTAAAGGAAGTGTCTGTGAGAGCTCCAATTTTCCTGTACAGGAAACACTTTGAAGAGGAGACAACTTAAAAAAGACAATATAGAACCAAGCATATGAAAGAAAAACATAATTTGATTAGGATTAAAATCATTGGCTGTAAAATTAAAAATTTAAGTGTTCTGGGGAAAAATGAGTTAATACAATTATTTTAATACTTAACACTATAAGAAACTGTATCAATGCAAAATTTCTAGAAAGGGGCAATGGATAAGTGTCAAGAACCCCCTGAATTAAGGGAAACTTAAGTCCCTGATTTGACATTGCTGTCAAGGTCTTTTTCATTTCCAAAATTAAAATTTACAAATGCCAGCTGTTTTGCACATTGGAGATCATTAGGTCAGACACAGAAGAGTTAAACTCTGATTACAAAGGCTTTCTATCAACTGTGGTCAAATTAAAACTCCATTTAATTTAGCCACTTTTGGGGGGATTGTTTACCTATGGTTGTGGATTGATTGCTGCCACAAAGACATCTCCTTTGGTGCAATCAAGTTCAAACTTAACTATGTACATTTTTAAACACTTAAAATGATTAATTATTAAGAATGGTGTTAAAACAATAGTTCAGCTGCAATAATTTTCTTAACTTTGTTCACATAACATGAAAAATTACATTTCAACATATTATTGAGAGCATGGATTATTTCATGACCTGTGCCTTTCATTTCACTTCACCTTTTAGGATTGGAATTGAAGATTTAGCCACTGTAATAGAAGATGGTAACAAATTGTGGGAAAAGTGAATTATTCATATGTTACACCTAAATAAAAAGATCAAACATACAAGTATAACTGAGACATTGAAAACGTTTTATTATAATGGGCAATCTCTTAATTCAAATACTCTTAGATTTGATTAATAATTAAAAACCACTTTGTGAAAATGCTATGGGTTTGCAAAATGAAGAGTGTTTTCCAAGACTGAGTTTTCTGAGATTTTATGCTTCACCACAGCTCACTTTAAGAAAAAAATAATAAAATAGATACCATGGTTCAAAGAGCTAGGTTTTGAAAAGCATTATTCTGACATCTTCAATAAGTGATAATTTTTTTTCAAGTTCTACAAGTATATATTGTGGGAACTGTTTTTGTCGGTCAATTGCAGCTCTGAAAGGTACAGGCACAGAAGATCTGACTGTTGTAAATTATACACTGTCAAATGAAGTTTTAATCAACCCTTTCCGAGTAAACTTTTATTTGATGGAATGGTGATTGATGAATCCATCTAAAGATCTCACTTTTTTATTATTCTTATTGTCACCATTAATTCCAATTGCCTTGAAGAATGTTATTACCTACTGAATATGTAACTTTTGTTGACTACAAGCAATTCAGGGAACCATGTCACCATTTCTATTTCCTTTATATTGAGCTTCAACAATGGTATGATCTGAAGTTTTCTGTAAATATATAACGGCACAGGTAATAGAGACACTTGAATGCTAAGAGAAACTTAAATCAAGAACAAAACAAAACAGTGCTGAAACATATCATTTAAAGCAAGCTTTTGAACCTTTGCCAGACCCCATCTGCTCAGCTTCTCTCAAACTAGCACTGACAGTGAATGGGTGATTCATCCTATGTTGTGCCAAATTGTTTTAATGTTTAGACAAGAAGCAAGAGCAGACTCATTTTTGCCATTGATTGTTGGTAATTAAACTATCATTGAGCTAATTATATACTCTGTATTAAAAGATTTTATTGACCACTTGCACATTCAGTGGTATTATGACTAATAATTTCTCCCTTGTAATGACATTATTTCACTCTTTACTTCACACTTCAAGGGATGCATCTGACTATTGAATTTCAGACAGAACGCAACATCACCAAGAAGTGTGTAATTGACCCACTTAATTTGATCAGGTCATGACAACAATACATTTTATCATCCTGCATGGAAACCCAGCACATGTAGAGGCCCAAGGCAATCCTTCCCTATATTCATGTACACTGAATATCACTCATAGCAAATCTCTTTTAAACAATTTCCTATGATGACAAGAATTCACTTACTACCTTAAATTATGCCGCACACTGAAATCACTGGTAGCAATGGACCTGCATGACCAATTTTATCTCAAACAAAAACCAATGACACCTGGAATATAATTAACCATTTCAATTCAGGTCAGGAAACAATACATTTTACTACCCTAGCATACACATGTGCGATCACTACTTACTTCAAAAAACTACACACCAAATCAATTCTTGTCAAGTTAATCATTTCTTAGGAACCATAAAGAATTCAATTTGGCCCTCTGAATGCAATTGCATACACCTAACTGTTTATCTGCTAGTTAGAGTAACATTATGCTTCTAAATTAAATTGCTGCATCAGAAAACTACAAGACTAGTGCAGTATTGCTGTATTGTTTACGTATCATTTTTATCACAGCAAATATAATGCAAAACGGAAATACCTGCAGATTACACACTCATTCACCTACCTAATGTACTTAACACACTACACACCATATTTATCAAATTGTTCTACTGACCTTGGATAAAATGGTTATCAAAAATTCTCCTAGGCTTACTAGCAAATTTAATATGTATTCTGTACATTCAGCATCAGAAAATGACATCAAACATTTTGTTGGCTTCAATCAATGTTGGCTGAAAAATTTCAGAAAAATTTGATTCAATTGTTGCACAGACTGTAGGCATACACAGATCCACATTACTGCACAGCATATCAGAGTTTCTGCCAGACAATGAGTTTTACACGATACTTTTGCATGGTTTAATCCCTAGTCTCTTCACTAATCAACCCAAGATGTAGCCATGAAGGCCAGAAGGCTGAGTGCACAATGTACCCTTTTTTTTTTTTGGCAACATCCACCTACAGCAAGACCATAAAGAAAACTGTGATAAATTAAAGAAAAAACAGACTGCGCTAGTATCATAAAGGCTGTAAACTTTCAAATAGTCTGCTAATGCCATTATTACATTATTTGGTAATTAATTATATTTATTGGGCAAATTTAACACTAGATAACAGCCTTTTAACAATACACCATACAAATTTCTAGCAACATTGCTTAAAAAATCCTTTTCTTTATTCAGTTATTGTCAGTGTAGTAATTCCTATCCATTCCTTATTAATTACAGAAGTAATATAAAATTACAATTCAGGTAAACATGAATTATTTCCTTATCAAGTACAATTCACTACTACATGGCACACCAACAATCCACAATCATGATAATCATAACTGATACTGCTTCTTGTTTAACACATAGATTAAATTTGAGTGTAGACCAATATAGTGAAAATCTCTGCACGTATATATCTGAACTCTAAAATATTGTTCAGTTTTACAATATATGAACATATGCATGTATAGATCATTTCATGTGGTGTCTAAGAATAACATTTAATTTTTGCATAAACTTTACAGATTGATGATATCACATCAAGATAACATTACAGATCCTAAAATTTGTGGAATTTGATATTGCTCAGCTCAATGTTGGCCATTTTAAAATGAAAATTTACTCAGTAAAAATTGAACTATGCAGAATTTGATGTAAAATACACAGAACTGTCCTTGCCTACAGAAAGCAGGGGCTTTGTATCTAAATTAGGTTGGTGTTCTTCTCTTACATCTGCAAACCATTATTTTCATGCTGTAAAATTGCTGCATCATTCAAATATGTCTTTGGAAACAGTATTTTAAAAAGAAGACTTTTTTATGCAATATCTTTTCATTTATATAATCTAGTGAGAGAAGTACTGACTGTTTCATTCTGTGAAAAGAATGAAAATAATTAAATCACACTGAGAGTCAATAAGCCAAATACTTTCCATAGGTTTGAATGCACAAGTCTGCAGTTAACTAAAATGATTCATCTTTGGGGTTTCACATGCTACTACAGTGGTCAACAGAAGATAATCTACAACATTTTCTAGTATCATATAAAGCAAATAGATTCCACATTGCCATGTCACTGTTCAGTAGTAGAACACAGATGACATCAAAATGTGGTACATTTGGCACAGCAATTCTTAAACATGATAAATGGGAGATAATTTTTGGGACAACTTTTGTCTAGTTAAAACCCTAAACAATTCAGGATAGCTTCTTGAGTAAGTAATTTAAGATCTAAACAGTTTTACAAGGAACCATCTGTTGGCCTAAACAACAAAAGGACAATACATGTCACCATTTGAGCATCTTGAAAAGTTATAACCTAAAATATTTCCAGATTGTCATCATAATCTGTTTCAATCATCTCTATCCACATTCATCCTTTGTTTCTTTTTGATTGATTTAAAACCCTTTAATCCTCAAGAACTGATTACCAGTTCTTCTTTGTGGCTGGTATGAAACTGGATGACTTGTAATTAAGTCAATTTAAGAGCCCTGTACTGAAGGAAGCTTCTACAAATATACTGATATAAAAATATAATTTACCCTTAAGTAAAATTCTAATCTGCAAATTTTACAAGAGCTGGAAAAGATCACCCAGGTTTTCCTCATTAAAACTTAATTCTAATTTGAACAAGCTCATTTGAAAGCCTTTATAGATAAAAGATTTCTAAGTTCTGTGTTTCCAGTCTGTTTTTTTTTTCCAAAATAACTTTTCTAATCCGCATCAAATAAAGACCTTTACATGATACATTTCGGCTTAAAAATCTATCTCAGTCAAAATAGCAAATTAAGGCAATCACTTTCTTGTCTACAAAAATTACAACATACATGTACATATAATCAAGTTAAAATGACTGACAATAACAGTATCCTTCAGCACTAATTAATATGACTATTATTTTGTGACTGTACAGTCGCTAATGGTGGTGACTACTTTTAGCAAACCAGTTTGAATTGCATCAACAATGCCAGGAAATGATCCTAAACTTGTAAGGACTTCATGAGCTCCTTCCCTGAAGTGAACATGAATAGCAGAAAAAAGAAAACAATTGTGGGACAAAGTTGTCATGATCCATCAACACAAACTAAGTAGAAATCACAATCAATGTGAATAGAGTAGAACACTGCTACCTCAAACTCAGGGTAATTTAGTATTACCTACTGAGTTGATAACATAAATTGGCCTCCATAGAGAGTTTCAAAGCTGATATTTCAAGCGTTAGCCCTTTGTCAGAGTGAATGACGAAGGGCTGATGCTTGAAACATCAGCTTTGAAACTCTTTACGGTGGCAAATTTACATTTCACTTATCAAATCAGTTGATAATACTTAATTACTCTGTTATGCTTTCCCACCCACACAGCACCACAGTTTCTTTAAAAAATTACCCCCTTAACTCAAACTCTGTTTACTTGACTCCCTACTAACTTGAACAAAATCAGATTTACTCTGGATTTGACCTTATTGTTTCAGTAAATCATTTACAATCAGCTACCTTGAACTCCCGATTAGCTCAAACTTCCCATTAATTTGAACTAATTTTACTTTCTCTTGCCTCAAATTTACCCTGATAACTGGAACTGTTGGTAAATATGTTAGTTGATAAACATTAAAGTTTTAGAACATAGCTAATAAACATGTCCCAATCTTTAATGACGATTTATATGAATGTGATAACATTTATAAAAATTCAATGTTGAAGTCCATGAAAGCCCAATAAGCATCTGATCATTGTTGATATGACAAGTTACTCTACAGTAATTCCTGTAATTTCTTTCTAAGATAATGCAGTCCAAACATGACATAATTACTGCATTTATTTGATTAAATGCTGCAGCGTTTATCAAATTTTCTGTGATTCATGTGCAGCATTTATTCAAGGGAGGGGTATGTAAGAGGTGGCATTTAAAATCCAATTTATTTCTTGCAAACAATAGTATGGTAACTGACCATTTTAACTTAAAAAAACAGAAACTTATTTTAGTTCTTGTCTAAAAAGTCATTTCTTATATTGTTCTCAATTTCACAATTTGCATGTCAATACATAAAGTGAATAAAGACCTTATGTTGGATACACTTTCTCGACGTCAGAACTTGTACATTCAAAAAAAATTTGTGTCTGGTTCTCTTTAAATTTCCAACTGTGATTGAAGCAATGATTGCTGTGTGCTTTTTGAGTCTATTATTTGAATAAACATAGCCTCATGCTGTGGCATTCATTCAAGGACAGTGTTTATCAATATTTCTGCTCTAAAATGCAGTATTTATTCGAGGGCGGTGTTTAATCAAATAAATACGGTTACGTAATTAACGGATTAAATATTGCACACACAATTAAAAAACTTTGCTTAAATGTCCTTCACAACAGTGGCAATCTCAAGCAGAGAAAGCACAACCTTTGTTTTTCTTATATAAATTTGACTTAACATTATTATCAAAGAGCTTTGACTAATAAAACAAATTAAATGTACCAATTGGTAAAAGCATGATTCCTCGTTATATTGTCACTGGGTTTTTATATATAACTTCTTTACCAGTGAGGTGCAAATCATAATTCAGTTTGTAGCATGTATTTTAAATGACCATGCATTTGGCATCCAGCACCAGGCTGGTAAATAAAAGTGATCAAAACAGCTGATGAGTTAAAAAAAACTAGGGTGGGGAATTAAGGGGCTTGCCTGCTTTTGCACAGTACAATAATTATACTTGCAATTATGTATATGAATGCATTGCATTGACCCTTCCACTCCGAGGAGTGATCAGAAAGAAAATTTTCCATTAAATATTGTAACATTTACAAGTAAAAAGGAGATGAAAAGAAAGAAAAACATTAACTCTTTAACTCCCAGATCAAATTTGTCATTCTCCTTACTGTCAACCATACAATTCTCATAATGTTAGTTCAGAGAATTTAGCATTGGATTAACTAATTATCCCCAAATTGATATTTGTCTTTATTCTCATCTCTTATCTGGTTGATATTGATATTGTGAGGAGAAATTCTCTTTTGGTCACTTATGGGAGTTAAAGGGTTAAATTTGGGGATATTGTTTGATATGACATCAAATTATAAGAGCTAAAATTGTAAACAATGTAACTATAAAGAACAGTACAAAGAGTTGATATTTTGATCTCAGCAGTTAAAGGTTTCCTAGAGTAGCTGCCCTAAGAAACATGCATGTACACCAATTTTTATCACCACCTTTAATTTAATTTATAATGGCAAAGGACACTATTTTATGGTAATGTTTTGAATGCTTACTCCTCTTTCAATATGCCTAGTTTAGTTTCTTTTCATACCTTATCAGAACATCTACAGCCTTTTCTCTTTGATGGCTGAGAAGGTACATGACAGTCCTTAGGCCATGACACTTGATCGTCTTGTCTGTTGACTACAAAAGCAAGTTGCTACATCAAAAATTTTTCTGTGGCCTACACTTTGAATTCAGTCAAGAGACCATTGAAAAAGTGAGTAAGGATGGTAGGGTCCACAATACATTGGAAAAAAAATTCTTAGGGAATAAGGAACCAAGAGCCAATATTCCACCAGTATGGCACTTAGCACATTTGTTTAGTAAAAGATTTATTACATGACTAGAGACTGCCTTTGGTTTCTCAACTTTTTGCTGTTTTGTCTTCCTGCTTTTGTAAGATTTACAAGCTCTTCTGGAACTCAAAAGCCAAACCCAAAATTTTGCAATAGACTTACAATGATCATCAGCTTCTTTACTGTAAGTAATTCATTATCCAACTGCTAAATTTACCATTTAGTGATTCATTTCAAAGTTATAGCAAAATGAAAGCTGCTTCCAGGTATTTCTTGGAAATGATGATTAACAACAAAAATTAATCGAACAATAACTATTTTGCATGTCTGCATACATGCCCCACTGTGAAGTGTGTTTGAAAATCAGGTGGGCTCACCCAACATATTTGCTTGCTACTCATTACTTAAAGATTTCATGAGAACAATCTTTCAATTCAACATCTTTCAATTTCTCTCAGCTCTAGGTGAGAACATGACACTATAATCATGGAAATTGGTGATGGAGTTTTGGCTGAGTGCAATTTCTCCAAAGAATGTCATCCCTACAGACTTCAGTCTTGTCTGAAATGGCAAAACTCCTCCCCTGAAGGAAGTGGAATCACTTGGGAGAATGCTTAGTCCAATAGTGCCAAAATATCAGCCCTTAATGGACCAGTAATGGAACCTTTCAATAGGTTGATTATAGTTATCTGCCCTCAGTCAGTAATGTATAGCTTCTTCAACTTTTAGATTTACAAGTACCTTCAGGTGTGTCTCTATAATTCTTGGCAGATATTGTATCTAAAAGAAAAAAGAGATAAATTATTACAAAATAAAAAATGACAACCTCTTATTTTCATGCAAACAGAGTCAAGTATAAAAACTAAGTGAATTTTGGAGAAAAGTTACCAATACAGTCCCGCACCATATTGAAAAATAAAGACATACCATAATAGATGAATTCTGATGAAACTTTGAAAAGTTACCAAGGGCTCTGGATACATGTGTCTGTGAAAATATGTAAACTGTTTTTAACTATGATGTTATAAAATAACTCAAATAGTGACAATGATTAGGAACTGTTCCAAAAATCTCTTAAAAGTCAAGAGTTTTAAATTCATAGTTAAGAACAGTTAAGATCATAAAAGAAGTATTAAGATTGACTAGCATCCAGTTATTCCTCACAGTACCCCCCTGAATCAAACATTTAATTTGTGAGAATAAAGAAAATGATCACCAACAAAAGAATTTCTTGATTGTTAAACAAGTTTTTTTTGTCAGCAGCTTTGAAAATGTTTAGAGAACGGAATGGAGAATATGCTTACTGATGCTAGGGTGTAAAGAGTCAAAGAATATACTGTCAGTGACAAATTATCATAATATGGAGGTAGTGGTAATTCTCAGTAAAGAGCTATCAACTACTAATCATTGGGTACCTGGACGTCTTTATGACCAGTGTGAGATGACGTCAGAGAACACATGGCTTGTAAACAATCCCTAAGGGACATCTGAATAAACAAACACAAGAAAATAAACAAATGTTTGCTGACAAGCCTTTTAAAAGGCTACACATTGTGATTGAGTCAACCATTTGAACACTTCATAAGATGGGAAGTCAAGAGAACACATGATTAATACAATATTGTTACTTTGGAAGCTTAAAGAAGTGCTGGACCATAGGAAAAGCAATTAAAGATTTATAAGAAATAAAATCAAGATGAAAAAGAGAAGTACAGATATCAGAGGCAACATGAAGGAGCTTCATGCTTAAATTAAGAAACCAGGTCTTTGAAAGGGCCTGAGACCTATTAACAAGAGCAAAATTCACAGTGGAGGATGTCTGGTACATATTTAAGCTTCCAGATCAATTCTTCTGAAATCCTCTAAAACATGTGAATGTAATGTACATTGCCAAGGCACTGTACCTGATCTTGGTCCCCTGTTGCCAAATTTGCAATCAGACAGGATGCATTTACAAGGACCTTATGAGAAAAAGACATTATTTGATATGTTTATCGTAAAATTAGCCACTCTAAAGACTTTCTAAAGCTAATGTTTTGAGTGTCAGCCTTAAAGTCTCACTTTTCTTTTTCACTTTGTTGATAGAAAGAAATAACAAGTACAAAGAGTTAGGTATCCTCTGAACTTTTTATGGGTTGATAAACCATAACAAAAAAAAGAAGAAAAATCTCAAAAACACATTGGATCTGATTATCAATTCTCCTCATCAAGAATTGGTTTCATGAGAGAATATTCTATTACATCTCAATTGTTAATAAATTTACCTCTCACTGATATTTTCATTAACTAAATCATGGAAAACATGACTGATATCAAAATGTGAGGTTGGAGGGAAACCACTTATGGGAGCTTAGATGTTTCATGAATACACAGACTGCCATGTAACAACAAGCTGAGGTAGAACTTGGAAATTCTTGTAGTCAGAATATTACAGAAATTAAAATCTGGCAATGAGCAGTTGTGAGTTAGGCCTTCCAAATACAATTTTTGTTACCTGTAGATTTTTTGGTCCTCTTGTAAGGGCTTCAACTAAACATCGACCAGCTGAGAAATCTTCCTGGAAACAGAATTAGTGCTGCTACATTTATTCTGTTATACTTACAAAGAAAGCCTCAAGTAATATACCAATAATCAAATGGTATATTATATCATTATCTTAACCCACTTAACTTTCATGAGTGACGGAGACAGAATAAACACTGACAACTGACAAATGACAGACAAAATTTTCTCCTTACAATACCAATACATTATCAAGCAGATAAGTAATAAAAATATCAATTAAGGATTATTAGCTGATCCAATAATGAATTCTACAATCTAACATCATAATAATTGTATGGCAGACAGTAAGGAGATTTGCTGAAAGGGATGAGATTTTGGGAATGAAAAGGTTAAATTAAGCTATAATTTCACTAGGAAAGGTCATTATCCACCCCCCTCTTCTGGGCAACCCATGGGTATTTGCATAACCATCTTCCAGGGTGGGGAATTTGAACCTTACCTGACTGGATGGGGTTGGGAATTTGAACCTGAAGTTACAAGTTTTTCCAGTGGAATACAAGGATTTCATATTTAAATATGGGGGAGTTTAAAGGTAAATAGTTCACTTGTGCAAGCAAATGGCTCAGAAGAAAAGGTCTATAAGGTCTAGGTTTTATCACCTTGTCAATGTGTAGAGAGACACAGTCACTGATTTAGCCTTTAAAAAAATTACCTTCATTTTTTTGAAGGGGGGAGGCATTTTAACACAGCTTTTGCCCCATGGGAGGAATGGGAATGCAAACAAATCAATCTTTTAAAGTTCAAATGCCTAGGGGGGGTTCATTGGAGAGAATGTCAAAGTCCACTCCATTCATTAACAACCAAAAAAATTATATTCAACTCCATTTTTAAATTAAGTACTAATTTTTTAAAGCACAAATTGATTCTTATCAATCACTGTTTAAAAATTCAGTATGAGAACAACATTAAATCTTCTTTGAATTTAGAAAAAAGGCAGCACTGATCATGATATTTAACACATATTAATTGCACATCGATCTGCTTCTAATATTTACCAGCTACATAATAAAATAAATTTTAAAAAGGCAAGACCACCTGAACAATGCGATGCCTCTGCCAGTCTGTACCAACAGACATCTGTGCCAAAATTCTCAAGGATATTTCTTGAATCTATAATGGATGTACATCTACATTTTATCTCATAAAGTAACAAACATAAAGGGTACACTGCTATCTGCAAGTTCTGTGCAAAATTAGTAACAGTGCAACACCAAAACAAAGATGATCAGAATTCTTGTTGAAACTTATGAAAAGGTAAAGACAAACTTAAAAATTCTTTAGCTGCTGTTGACTTCAAGGGAATATAGACAAATGTTTTATTAGTTCCAATTTGGGATTAAAAAAGATAAATCTGTTCATATGTTTAATCCACTAATACTTTAGTCATGTACCTTTTCATCTTGTGCCTTTGTCAAAGCTAGAATTCTTGGCAGGGCATTCCGATTGCTCTGTCAGCACAATGAAAAAAAGTAAAAAAAAAAATCATTTTTAGAATACTAGATAATGCTTGTACAAAAATCAATAATAAAATAATTATGACAAACATGTGAAGCTCAAAAGACAAATTGAAACCTCTATAAGGGGAGCTACATTGCCATGATGCTCAACAATGTGACTCAATGTCATCAGGGCAAGGAGGGCAATGGCTTCTTTCATTGCACACACTGTTAACACAGGATCTAATGCACCATCAGCTAAGGCTAGAAGAAAAAGAAAGCAGTGCTTTTAATTAGTGGATGTCTGTTGCTGTGAATTACACAAAGCTTTTCATAGGCTAACTCACAACTACAGCTTCATAAAGTATTGTAACTCTGGAGAAAGATTTTTTTTCTTGCCACAAGTGTGTGACAAAGAAAAAAGTCTGCTTGAAATTGTAAAGAGTAATTCTGTCTCAGTCACTCATGGGAGTCAAATGGTTAAACTGACCTTGTGCTTTTAATTCAGGTGATTTACAAAATATCATCAATGCACTGATTCCATCAATCAAGGTTTGCTCCTGACTCTCACTGACAGTGGAAAGTATGCTGCAATAAACAAAATAATTTAATTCATATTAACCAACAATAACCCATTTAACACTTCTAAAACAAGGAAGTAGTCAGAAAGGTATATCAAGTCTATCACAGTGGTTTTGATACAATTTGGTATAAATGTGTAGTTTAGAATAACAGGCAAAACATTTCGACAGCCTGGAGAGCCTCTTGTTCCAAGGGCTGTCCAGAGTTTCCCAGGTAAAAAATTTGAAGTGCTACTGACACTCTTGCAGCCACATTTTCCTATATTTCAAAGTCTCCTCAAATTTGTGTCTACATTGTTCCTTGAGGTCAAGCAATTTAAACAGATTTGAAGAGAACTGCTTGTATGTCAGGAGTAAAATGACAACCACATGTAAAGGTTACATGCGAGTATCCAGCCTATCACAATCCAGCAAATCTACCAGCTATCTGGCTGCTATTGAAACAGCTAATAAAAAACCTGCATCCTTCCAGAGAAGTCACACCATGGCTAATCTTACAGAGCTTTGCTCTAACTTAAACAAAACAGTGGAGTGATGTAATTAAGAGTGTTAATAAAGTCAACAGAAATCAAGAGAGCACTGTGTGCTCTAAAATTTCAATCTCATTAAGGTCAGTTAAAACAATAGGATATTTATTATATATAAGTGGTTATTGTAAGAGCACTTGTTGTGTAGGCAGTAATAAAAACACAGTTAATCCCACCTGCACAAGGCTCTAATGCCTCCACATTTGGCCAACATTGAGTGCAATGGAGGATGAGTAGAAAGGATCTGAAGTCCTGATGCAACAGCTGCCTAACAAATGAGAATTAACATCCTCAGTTACAATGGACCTTAGCCATATTTAGTCTATACCACACAGGTGAATGGTGCTTCTTGTGTGCCCTGATTGGCTAATTAGGAAGTGATTAGCAAGTACTTTTCACCTCTGAGCAGCCATAGAGACAAAATCACTCGTCAACAATTTAGTTTCCAACCATTTTTTTGGTATGTTGATAGGAATAATTTAATGGTAATTTTTTTTGTTTTTGTGTGGTAGATACTAAAACAATTATTCGCCTCCACTTTGGTGAACAATTGTGCAGATCATGTGCGTGAAAGGTGTGAACTCCTGTTGAAATGCAATCACGAGTATGTTCTTTTGCCAGTCATACTCCAAAATTGTCAGGTAAATTGCCCTCCATCCCACATGGCAGTGCAGCACTCTCTAACATGAGCTACACAAATTTGTACAGCACTCTTGACCAATCAGTTACAAACTGACACAACTCCACACTTTTCCACTCAAATCTATATAATTTACTATGAGTTCTAATACAAGGGTTCCTTGTATTTAACTTTGTTCTAATTGGCCATTATCATAACTTTGGTTTCTGTTTTGTAACATGCAATCAAATGCACACTGGTCAAGGAGAAATTAAGTGTTACTCCAGCAATCATCCATGTCATGTGTGCAACCTACAAGTACATCAGCAAAAATAAAAGTGAACATGCTAGAAAACCTGAAAGGGAAACAGGGACAAAATTCAACTAGTCTAACTTATGAGAGCCGTTAAATCCATAGACTTACTTTTACGTCATAATTCTCACTTTGACTGAGAAATATAAGAGTCTGCACCCCACCCATCTCCACAACCTACATTAAAAAAGCAAACATCAAGATCTTTGAATTAGGCAGTTTGTAATTTATAGAACTTCTGAAAACATTTGACACCTATAGTACAGACTGCTATGATATGATCCATTGGCTGTAATGTAAATTATCATTTGATTTGGAATGTAAGTCTTTAGTCTAACCATTATTGATTTCTTGGAGAAAATCTTCTTTCAGCCAAATTCAGGAAACTACAGACTCATGGAGACTGAGCTGAATTAAAGTTGGGATAATTGAAAGGCTGGGTAATCAAAAACCAGAAATAAAACTGAATACATGTTAATTAAAGAAAAATTAAAAGACATTCTCAAACCATTGTGCACCATTGCCAAAACTTACCAAGCTATTTACAAAACAACACTTTTAAAACAACAAAGTAAAAAAAGCATTTAACTATGTTTTACCTTTGTGAGTCCATCAGGATCTTTGCATAACTCTGTTAAAGCTTTTGCTGCTTCTAGTTTGAATGTCTACAGATACATTGTACAAGGGTTACTGTTTGTAACACCGAAACATTATTCAATGTTCGTAATAGAGCAGTTTTCAATTGAGTTGTGAAAGCAATTTTGGATTGCTTTTTTTTGGTTTATTTTACTCTATAATTGGGCCAGAAAACTTGCACCACATCTTTAACCAACCAGATACAAAATAAAAAAAACAAGAAAAACTTTTCTCCCACATTTCCCTCTGCATTAAACAGTTTGGTCCATTTTACTTTGAGTTCTATTTGGCTGTTAAGCAGTTTCCTCCTCTCTTCTGCTTGGCCTCTGTGATTACTTTAGTTTTGGTTTTTTGACACTCATTTGAAAAGTGCTTTGAAAGGCTAAATTGGTGACCAGTAAATAAGAAGTAGAAAAACCATTCAACAGAAGCATTGCAATTACAAGGTTGTATTAATTATTTTTACCATCTGAAGTGATCTTGACTTTGTGACAAGGGAAGTTACTTCAAGACAGTAGTCACAGATCCTCTCTGGCTCATCAAATCCAAGTTGTGGAAGAGGAACCTAGCAAAACACATTTTTATCTCATAATACTGAAGACAGTAAATTTCAGATTAATATTGTATATGCCAACATGTTCAAGTTGTGGAAGGGGAACTTAACAAAACAAATTTAAATTTTATATGGCTGCATGAAGACAGCAAATTTGGCAAATGAATATTTTACAAGCACACAATTGAAAAGTTAGAACCTTGAGTTTCGGTAAAAGCTGTCAACAGCAGTCTACCCCAGCCTTACTCTGATTAGACTATGAAATGGCCATTGGGTTTCACTTTACAGCCCCCTTTTTGGCACAGTCGACTATTATACCATGGGCAGCCGCTTCTGAAAAAGTTATGGAAACCCCTAGTGTTGTGATGTCATTGAGCTGTTAGCTGGTCCCCAACCTCTGCACAACATCACCTTATTCAAATAGTTTTCGCGCAAATTATCCTTAATCCTTGGGTGTCATTTAGTACATGTCTCCTAACTGTCAGGTAAGTTCTTGCTTCCCTTTCATTATTTGATTTTCACTTACCTTATTTGTTCTCATTGTAAATTACTATTATGTGTAATACTTCATGTATTTCAGATACCACTGGTTATGTAATTAAAACTTGAGAATTTATTGGTGTGTTCACTACACCTTACCCTTACCCTACACACTACCCAATAATATCTTAACCCTTTAACTCCCAAGATCTGATCATTTAGTCTCCTTTCTTGCTTATACACATTTCCTTGTAAACTAGTGACAAGAATTTGGCATTTAATGAACAAAACATCTACCTGATAAGTTTGAGTATTCTCGTCACCTGTTTGCTAGATATTGTATGGATATTACAGGGAGAAGTTACAATTTAATCAGTTATGGGAATCACAGGGTTAATTTACCATGATATGAAGAACTGGAGACTTAAAACAAATTATACTAAATCTAACTTGGAGATGAACACAAGAATTTTAAAACAACATTTCCATGCAAACCACACTGTAATGTAACAGAGAATGAAGGGTATTTAATCGACAAGGAAGGCACTCCAAGAAGGCATTATATGATAACAGGGATGAAGTTAACAGTTAACTGAGTCACCTTCTCATTACAACACTTGCTACAGAGAACTTTTCCACACTGCCTACAGTGATGTTTTCTCCGGATTTGTGTAAACTTCTGAGAGCAAAGTGGACAGACTTGGGCTGAGTCATCTGCAAGCCACCTGAAAAAAAATATATTGGAGTTGATCATCATATGGTGAGCTGAGATATAATTAAAGCAAAGCAATAAAAATGAGATATAATTTGTAAAAACCTTGTTGGGAAATTTAACCACGTATAGCATGTAGTGAACATTGTTCACTAGCCTGGTCACATTTGACATGGTCAGCATAATAATAATTCCCTAATGCTCATTCAAATAACCCTTCTTGTGCTTCACATCTGTCCACTAATAGATCACAGATGATGTCAAAATGTCATTGACCTGTCGTTGGATTCAAAGGATGAAGGACTAATGCTCAATGTGTCAGTTTTGAAACTCTTTACAATGGCCAATTTATGTTATCAACTCAGTTGATAAAACTTAACTCCCAGAAGTGATTAACATAAAACTTCTCCCTACAATATACATACATTCTTCAGCAAACAAGTAATAAAAATATTCAAACTTATCATGTAGAAGCTGCTATCTTGATCAAGCACAAAGTTCTTATAACTAATTTACAAGGAAATGTGCAGCAGCTACAGGGGAGAATTGACAATCAGATCTTGAGAGTTAAAGGGTTTTTACTACATTTTGATGTCTTCTTTGATGTATTACTGAACCAACCCATAGCAGCATGGAATCTATTTGCTTTATATATAACAAAGAAGGCAAAATGTTGTTAATGGTGATGTCATCTATGTCTCTAACACTCCATAAGTAAAAACCATTTGAAATGTGCATATGATTTAGCTTACAACACAATGCTTCCAGACATGTTGTCAGAGCCAAAAGGGCTAATTTTTATGAATATTTAAAGAAAGGTTTGTAACACAGTCTCTTGCCTCTTATTTCCATTTTAAGATAACCAGTTTCAACAATTAGGAGTTAGGCAGACAGGGATTTTTGACTCCAATCATAGCTCATTGACAAATATCAGAGCTGTTTATGAACTGAGCGTTTCGTTTCACCTACATGGCCTGGTTACTAAGTTGTTATCAAAACAACGGCATTCATCACATTCGAAGACAATTTTTAAATGTTCAGCGTAAAAAATCACATATGTAAATTAAGATAATTTTCAAGACTTTCAACGGCAGAGATAAAAAAATATGTTTCTTTTCTAGAGCACACTTATCCCCTTGCATGGGTGTTGAATAACTTCATATTAGGCAAAATTATTTATAGGCATAGAAATCAATATTAATAGTTACATAGGCAAAGTCTTGCTCAAAAACTGAAATGAGTTCAGATATGAGCAAGAATATAAATAAAATGTTTGTGAAATTTTATCCGATTGAATTGAATACAATTAGCCTTGGAAAAATAAATAAAGTATACAAGTCAAAGAAGTTTACTATTTGAAGAAAGTCAGCTGTATTGAAGTAGATTTCCGATATAAAATAGTACATTTACTACTCCTTTCCCAATCGACTGATTCTTAAAGAGTGAAGGCGAAATACTAAGCTGCTGGCGGAAAACTTTTACTAATCCAGCGCAAAACCGTGTAAGTATATCCAAGACAGAGCTCGAGAGCTTCGCAACTATGTTGACAGTAAAACTCAACTTGGAGACAAATAAATATTTGTTTAGACTGTAAGCTAAGCCTCTGTAACGTATTTGGAAGAAAGAACTCTGTGATAGACTGGTAGATCACTTGTTAGGTCGATCAGGTACTTGCTTGATCGACCATTAGTAGAGCTGTGGGCAGAGGCCTGTTAATCCTACTTTACATACTTAAGGCGCCCATCTTTAAATTTAAATTCGACCCCTACATAAAACAGTATATTGCTTTATATAACGAACGGGGTAGTTTATAAATCTGTTCCACTATTTTTGTTTTTTTGAACCAAATGCTGCATAGCGACTCTTACAACGTTCAGGCCACTACTCGCAGGGGGTGACTCCGATCTACCTACAACCATCAATGAACAGCGAGCCCACAAAAATACAATTAGCGGGAAAACAACTTTAATATCTTTAGCATTTTGGCTCTCACCTGGCCTTTACGAGAAGAAAAGGAGTGCTTGAAAATACATTTGCTGGACCCTCGGTTATTGCAGCAAAAACATCTCTGTCGTGAATACGAATCCTGTTCGAGTTGCTTGCCATGTTGAAATCTTCTTACCCAGTCTTCCTTCAATCAATAGGCGATTTTCAAACAAGTTCAAGCTCTTGTAACGCAAGTTTTTTTTTTTGAGGACTTGTCACGCAAAGGTATAAAAAAAAACAAAACAAAAAAAACAGATAGAGCAAATAAATAAAACGACCAACAAACGAAGAACAGCTTTTTGAGCATCTAACTCACCGCTGTCATTTAAACTAGATTCTCGAAATCCTTTTGTTTCTGCCACGATAGTAGTAATTTAGTCGCGCGATACTTCTTAAAAACGGCTGCGAACTTGTACTCATAAACTTAGGCATCGCATATGAATGCAATGGCTAACAGAGACATAGATATCGAAGAAAAAAGGACAATATCGGCATTGACACACTGAAAACACTCAAAGCTCTAGGCTCCGTCTGCATTCTCCATCGCTCCCCAATCAGCATTTTGTGTGACGAGACTAACCAGCGTGTGACAAGGTAACCAAGCTTGTCGACACCCAATGGGAAAGAATAAAGGAAATTTTAATCCAAGCTCGAAGCGCAAACATCCGAACTTTCCTCTAAAGGCACAAGGAAATATATTTGCACAGAATTTTTACCCCACGAGGTCTTCTCTTATGTGACGCTTCCATCGTTTTTCTTGCCACGCAGAAATACGTCAGTCCACGTCGCAGGCCATGCCACTTCGGATGGTTTTGCAAGGGGCGTTGAAACAGGACGATGGATTCATTCATGAACGTAATCTAACAAATCTAGGAACAAACGTATGGTGCAAAATTGTGAGACAATGTGTTTCTAAATTGCAAAGTAAATGAGAGCCAAAAGGTCTTCCTTCATAAAAGCACTCGGCTAGAAAGATGTTTCTTGACTTTTGCGACACCCTTTCCTTAGATCAATATCTTTCAATGAATAATAAAACAAGGAAACAAATAACAAGATTTAGTACAATAGGAAAGAGGATTCCAACTTGAACGTGTCTCTTGAGAGGATAATGACATCTACACTTTAACAAATCGTCCCCGACAAACCCTCTCGTTATGGATCTGGTATAAAAGCTATTGAAAAAGAGAACTTGTCAAAGACACTCAAAGTTGCGCGTGTAAATGCTGCTGATGGCAACTTGTATGTTTGGAAACAATTTTACAAAACATTTTTTTATTATCTCTATCTCTAAAGTAACATTTCCGAGGCATATCACTCATGATTGCCAACAGAAAACACAATATCAGATATGGAAACCTTCGATTTAATCAAGTAACGCGCAACTCGTAACACTCGCTGGAATAACATCGCCGTTGTTCCCTAATTTGTTTTACAAATTAAAAATAATCATTGCAACTTAAATTTTTAAAAGATTAACTTATGGAATGTCCAAAGAGGATAATGAATATCCTCATCACGTCAAAAAAGTAATCCATAAAGTTTGGGCAGAAAACTTAAAAAATTACACTGTTGACAAGAAAAGTGACACAAACGGGGTCTATATCTCATTAGTGCAGCACCAATAGTCGTTATCACATTGTAAACATCATTTGGATCGTTTCTACACTACAACTAGTAACCGTCGTTGACAAAGTAACACAAAATACATAATTATCGAGGTAGGTGAACTGTTTTAGTTTTCGTCTATAAATAATTGTCTATAAATTTGCTTTGAGCGAGTTTCTGGTTAAATAGAAACAAATGGTACAAATCAACCAACACAAGAGAACTGACGTGTCAATTTTTATGAATAGAAAGTTTTATCATAGGAAAATCCCATTTTGATGAGCTCCTGAAGTTTCGTGATCAAGTGTAATTTTCTCTCTTTACGAATACTACTCGAATTTGACCATTTTATAAGTGGCCATGGCTATTTGCCCCGTGGACATTTATTCAGTAGTGTTGAAGAATTTGCTCTAGAGTGCGACCTAATTACAGTGATTTATATTTGAGTCACGCGCCACAAGTACGGTACTTCCAGGTTTTTATCCCTGGGGTATGTCACACGGGATTTTTGATGATTCTACCCATACGATAATCGTACACCTGCCGGCAGAAGAACACCAGATTGGGATCTGTTCGAGGCTGAGGAACCGAGCCAGGTTTCGTACTTTCTCCCGGGGGAACCGGAGAGAGTGGAGCTTCTCTGAATTCACGAAAGAGTCTATTAAGAGCACGGAACCTGCCAAGTACAACAAAAAATAAAAAGTGCCATTAACATCAAGCTTAAAGTTAACAGCAAATTTGTTATGCAGCTGTTTCGAGAAAGGTTGTCTAAATAATACGTAAAAGTACCACGCGACAACCCCGAAATGTATCGTGGGTAGTTGTCAGATCATGGTTTCTTGACCTCTGGATTTCAAGGAAATCTGAGATAACGCCACAGCAAGGACGAGGGTTTGATGAATATATTTATCTATTTAATTATTTATTTGACTCATTAAAATTCGTTGATAAACGGATACCCAGGTAACTTTTCGAGATTGTTGCGCGTACTTTTAGTATTTTCTTTTCCAACAAACTTTCTCGAAACAGCTGCATGTGTAAGTGTGTTAGAGTATGACATCAGTCTACGGTTAAACTCTGCCACCGATAAAACACTACAATTTCTTTACAAACTTACATCCTTTATTTATTAGTCTAAGGTAGTGTCCAATGTAATTAATAGCGGAGCTCGCAGAGCGTAACCCCATAATTATACAAAATAGTAGTAACCCATCAAGCCGACAAAATTTGGTTGTACGACCGTACAAGGTGCTTCTTTTAACATGCGTGGTCAACTGTACCGCGGGCACGCCAACGTCACGGCTTTGTTCAGTGGTCCAGTGGTCAGTGCACTGGGCTCCGAGTCGGACGACCTGGGTTCTAGTCCTGGCCGGGGCAAGGCGTTGTGCCCTTGAGACGTGCGGAAAAAAAAATGCGAGCTCCGCTTTTAGGCGTGGCTAAATCTCTATATTAATTATCCCGTGACCGACAAGGAGGTGAAGAGTGGAGGGCATTCCCATGCCGGCTCTTTGTTTGGATGTTCAATATGTTTTAAAATTTAGAAAAGCATACATAATTCAAAAAATATGGCGAAGAAGCCGAGAGACGAGACAATACGACATGTAGGTTAAATAAAAGAAGGCGTTGTTTTCTTAAGTAATATTACCTGCAGTACTCTGGATAACTGAGAACGTAGCACTTGTCTACAATACACGCTACACTGTTATCATCTTTGTGCCTCGATGCCATCACTTCCATCTATTGATAGTTCATAAAAAAAAAGGCGATCGCAACATTGTCTAAGACAAGTTAGAGTAATCGTTACAATTTACGGATAACAAACGCACGAACGCACGAGTTGCAACGTGAACGACATTTTCTAAAACAGAAACAGTGTTACATGAAACACTTATAGTCCATAAACAACAAAAATAAGTGTTTAAGGAAGGAAAAAATAAAAAAGAATAAGGAATCATTGCCGAGGTAAAGCAGCCGTACACATTTCATGAAATATTACGTTCAACTACTTCAATCAACACTAGAACATGAAGTTTAAAAAAAACGTATTCTTACATCGCCATGAAAGTTTGGAATTCTCCCGACTTCAGTCTGCTCTGGTCGATAATACCAAAACACACTCATCATCATCTCGCCAGCGTTCGGACCTGCAATCGGGAAAAGGCGGTGTCAGTCGACACTTGCCAATGCCAAAGTGTAAACGAAAAGAAGGTTTTCTTTCACGAGTACAGGCCATGCCACAAGAAAAAAGTTATTTGCCTTTTTACTTTTAGTTTGATAAACTGAAACACCTGCCTAATGATTAGTACATAATAAAGCGGCCACTACAGAACAACACTAACTCGAGGAACAAGGTTAATGTTAATGATTTAAAATTTAATAGTTTGGAGAGTAACAAATTTACTTAGAAGACTTCTATTACTACTTGCTAAAAAATATGTTGATCCTTGTTAACATGGAGTAAAGGAATTCTGCCATGGTTGTGATAGCATCTACCTCATAAAAGGGTGCGATAGTCTTCAAATTATTTTGGGAGCTGCAGTCGTCCAACACAAACATTCTAAATGTCACCTTCGGTCAAAAATTCAAAACGGCGCCTAATTAAGTTGCGCTATCATATTTAACTGACTACCATGCAATCTCAAGTGATCCTGCAAAACCGGTCGTATCTGTTTTAAATGTTTGTGAGAAGACTTTTTTTTAAAACTAATATCAAAGCCTTCCCCATCGAAACGATGCAGATTGATAAAAGTCAGAGGCACTGGTTGCGTAACTAAAAAAACAAGGAGCAACAAACCCACCTTCGTCTTCTTCCCACAGTCCTGAAACACGTGCAACGAAAGGTGGATCCTTCTTTCGGGTTCCTGATTTGAGGAGAACCGAGTCGCGCACATTGATGATCTCATCTCCACGCTGAACACCGCTGTAATACCGCCGTATCACTATAGTCTCGTCCTGAAAGTGAGGTCACGTCTTGTTAGTTGTTAGGACGAAATTCGAGAGAGTTTTTTTCCAACATTATAGCCTCCTTTGTCGCTGTTCTTTGAAATGCCCTGCAACACTACCCCAAAGAGATGTTGAGTGACAACCCATGAACGGCTGCGAAGGAGACTACCGAACAGACGGCCAAATTTAAAATTATCATGAGGAAACATTAAAGCCATTGTAACAGGTAATTTATCCAAATAGTGCGTACAAAACATGTAAGGTCAATACAAGTCATATCATTGGAGAATTGACGGCCTGAACGTTATCATATTTACAGAAATTAACGGGGCTGTTGTATAGTAGGGCAGCGGTCAAATTGCGCATGTGTGAACGTGGTAATACCAAGGCAGTGTTCTCGTCAGAACCAAGTTGTCTCACACGAGTTACAAACGACCACACAAGCCAGTAAATCACGTTGTTTTGTAAAAAAAACTTTTAATTTTTAGGCAAAACTCAAAACAAACTGGTAAATCAACTGGACACCCGTACTTAAATAAGCTTTGCGTTCGAAAAATCTCGAGTTTTACCTTTCCCTACTTTTATTACTTT